CGGATTTTGGTTCTTGACATCCTTTACGATCGGTTACGATGCCTAGAGTACGGAGACCTGTACGATTTCGTCAACTTAGTGAGTTTGATAGGGGCCGTATAGTGGGACTTCGGGAAGCTGGACTTTCTTTTCGGGCAATTGCAGTTAGAGTGCAAAGAAGTGTAGACACTGTAGTTAGGTGTTGTCAGGCATGGCTTCGAGAAGGCCGTACGCAAAGAGCAAGGGGCACTGGACGCCGCCGTAGAACAACAGACCGTGAAGATCGCCGCCTAAGATTATTGGCCTTAAGGGACCATTTCTCCACTACCAGGTCCATTCCAAATGAATGGCTTGCAGAACACGGAAGACCTATTGGCATGCGAAGTGTTTACCGACGAATGAGAAGTTTTGGCTTGTTTTCATACCGGCCACACTGGGTCCTCCCTTTAACTCGAGAACACCGACGTAATCGCCTTGAGTGGTGCATACAACGGTCACTCTGGGATCAGGAATGGAACAGTATTGTCTTTAGTGACGAGTCTCGATTTTGTTTAGGCATGCACGATGGTCGTGCCAGGGTTAGAAGGCGATATGATGAAAGGAGGAATCCACAGTTTTTTGTTGAAAGACATGTTCATCACACTGTTGGAGTTATGGTTTGGGGTGCTATAGCTTATGGCTCCAGGTCACCTTTAATCTTCATCAGAGGTAACATGAACGCGCAGCGTTATATCCACGAAGTTCTAGAACCCCATCTTTTACCCTATCTTGACACCCTGGCAGATCCAACTTTCCAACAAGATAATGCCCGACCACATGTTGCAAGAGTCACAAAAGACTTCTTTCAACATAATGATGTCACATTGTTACCATGGCCACCAAGATCTCCCGACTTATCCCCAATTGAGCACGTGTGGGATATGATGGGTAGGAGATTGCTCAATTTGCAACGTCCTCCTCAGACTCTAGAAGCACTTCGAGAGGAGTTGGTGGTTGCCTGGAATGAGATACCACAGGAGGACATTGACCACCTGATCAGAAGCATGCCTAGGCGCGTTGGAGAATGCATAGCACATCAGGGTGCATCCACACATTATTAAAGGTCAAAGGGCTTTAAAGCAGTGCAATCATTTTGAAATTTTTATCATTTTCTTATTATGCTTCATTAAGTACTTATACAAAATTTTATTAAAATAAAACCATTTAAACTGGGTGTTCGGATTTATATGTCACTTAGTATATTATTTTTTACTTTATAAATGAATATCATTACAAGATATTTGATAAAAAATTTTACATTGAGCCATTTTAATTTGCTAAGCATTTGTCTAATTGGAGTATATTCATCTTTATTCAGTATTATTCTCATGCGTTTATTTTGTAAAATTTGCAGTCTTTCAAAAATGGAATTATTTGCTAAATATAGAATAGTCGAACAGTTCAAGAAATTTGAAAGAATGATAATTTTTCTGCTATATGAACTCAGACATAAAGAAACTCTCGATAAATATCCCACTTTACTACTAAATCTTCTTTATAACTTTTTCATAATGAATATCAAAAATTAATCGAGAGTCAAGAAAAACCCCCAGGTATTTAAAATTTTCTATGAATTCAATATCTTCACCATCAATGTTCAATTGAACATTTGTACATTGTTTTGTTCTGATTAACATAGCTTTCGTTTTACTTGTATTTAATTTTAGTCTGTTAGATGCTAACCATTTTGAGACATGTTTCAAGTCTTCATTTATAGAAGAGTTACCAGTCTGAATATTTTCAGTACTTATATAAATCATAGTGTCATCGGCGAAAATCTGAATTTTGCATTTTTTGACTATGGCAGGTAAATCATTTATGTATAAATAAGGTGTCATAATTACCCAAAAATCTCAATGAAAAGTTTTGTAGTTGTTGTCAACATTTACTTCTCCGTATGGGGTCGGGGAGGGGTTTGTGAGGATTGGTATCATTGGGAATTTTGATCACTATGCTGAAAATTACCTGCACAATTCAAACTAATTTAGCCAAAAGTCGTTTTCCATAAGAAGACTGTGGGGTTTTTTCGCAATCCTAAATAAAACTAAATTATTTATAGCATGATATGCAGGCATATGTGTCGGAAAGAATCGTGGATCCGTAAGAGTATTTTTTGGTACTAAAATTAACTCATATTTTGAGTTGATTGCATCTATAGAATTTTAACATACATTTATTTCTGGACATATGTATTTCAAACTTCCATCAACATTTATTTTATTTTAGAACTTCTTTAGAAGCTTGAAATTCACAATTTTGACATTTTTGTCAATTTATCCATTATCCTTCAACTTTTTATTTTTATATCAGTCTTTCTACTTCAATTCTCTAATAAAACACACTGAAACACAAAAGGTATAAACGAAAGTACTAATACAGGATGTTTCAGTTTATTGTTGCATAACTTTAAGATTAGATAGAACTTTTAAAATTAATCCATAAAGTCTATATAAACATGGTTCGAAAAATGCGTGGCTTCCGAAATACCGTTTAAATTTACTTTCTAAAATAGTTTTTTTAAAATATTTCGAAGAATATTTGATGTATAACAGTGAAAATTAGTATACAAGGGTTTTTTGGTACGACAAAACGAATCATGGGCATAGTTTTACTGTGGCCGCTAGAGGGCGCTCTCTACTGTATTAAAACGACCGAAATATTTTTCTTAGTGCAATTTTTTGCTTTATGAATGAAAAAACTGATTCTTCGGACTTTTCAACATAAAAAAGCTCTCTTGTGAATTTCCGTTGTAGTTAGCCGTTTTTGAGATATTTCGATTTTTAAGGTTCGATGCATTTTTAATTACTTATGATAAAATAACGTTAAAAAGTCAGTATCTCGATAATTTTTAGAAATAGGCTGAGCCTGCAAATATTTTTGAAATTGACAGCAGAATAAGGTTAAACGTCAATTAGTTGACAGTTAGTTTTGTTGTCTGTTAAAACCTGAAACGTTTTTTTGCAATTGTGAATGCACGAAATTTAGTTTATTTTACCTGTTTTTTTTTTGTAAGTTTTATAAAAATGCCATTTTTATTCTCCAATCAAGGGTTAGCGGATATTCATTTTGTGTATGGCGTTGTAAATGGAAACGCAGCAGAAGCAGCCAGAGAATACACACGAAGATTTCCAAACAGACGACATCCAACTCGCTCAGTATTTGTAAGAGTGCATCGCCTAATAATTGAAAATGGTTTTGGAAATCTCCAAAGGGATCAAAACATAAATGCTCGTAAGCGCAGATTTACCCGTATGATTCTGCGTGAGTTTGATAGAGATCCGACCACAAGTGTTAGGAGACTTTCTGGTGCCTTGGGCATTCAGCAAGCCATGTTCACCGTGTTCTTGGAAATGACCATAGACGTCCTTACCATTTGCAACCCGTGCAAGGACGGAGAACGAAGAATCACATTTTGTCATTGGATTCTTGATAGAACTGATAATAATAGGGAGTTTTTAAGTAACGTTTTATGGATCGATGAGTCATGCTTTACTAGACGTGGAGTGGTAAATTTTCATAATCAACGTATTTGGTCGGATGAAAATCCGCATGCAGTTCGGGAAAGAAATTTTCAGCATGCATTTAGTGTGAACCTGTGGATTGGTATCTACCGTAATCGACTATTTGGACCCTGCAAGGTTAAATGCTGCGACCTTCTTGGAATTTTTAAAGGCTGAAAATGCAAATATGTGGGATGATGTTATGTTAGATTTAAGAAGATTGGCCTGGTTCCAGCTTGATAGTTGTCCAGCTCATTATTCGAGAATAGTTAGAAGCTGGCTGGACGAAAACTATCCAGAAAGATGGATCGGCCGTGGAGGACCAGTCGCCTGGCCTCCACGATCCCCTGACCTAAATCCATTAGATTTCTTTGTGTGGGGATTTTTAAAAGAAAAAGTGTACCAGACTCCCGTAACCACAAGAGATATGCTAATAGACAGAATCAGGAATGCATGTGATGAAATAAGGCCTTATTTGAATAATGCTATACCACGTTCGATCATTCGTAGATGTGAATTGTGTATTGAACAATTGGGTTTACATTTCGAGCAACTACTTTAGATTTTGTACGTTTGTCCTAACTATCCAATAGCATTTTAGTTGTAAATAGTTAATTTAATTTGTTAAAAATAATATTAGAAAATTAAACAAATTAATATTCTATTTTTTTGTGTTTATTTGGAGTTAGGAATTATTGCTGTGTTTAAAAACATAATCTAAACGATCGTCTTAATTACTTTTGATGCTCAAAAATATTATTTTCCCATAAATAATTAAAAATGCATCGAACCTTAAAAATCGAAATATCTCAAAAGCGGCTAACTATAACGAAAACTCACAGAAGAGCTTTTTTATGTTGAAAAGTGCGAAGAATCAGTTAATTATTCAAAAAAACAAAAAATTGCACTAAGAAAAATTTTTCGGTCATTTTAATACACTACAGGTACAGTAGATAGCGCCCTCTAGCGGCTATAGTAAAACTATGCCTATGGTTCGATTTGTCGTACCAAAAAACCCTTGCGAACCAATTTTCACTGTTATACATCGAATATTGTTCGAAATATTTAAAAAAAACTATTTTAGAAAGTAAATTTAAACACCCTGTATTACGGAAGCCACGCATTTTTCGACCCATGTTTATATAGACTTTATGCATTAATTTTAAAAGTTCTATCGAATCTTAAAGTTATGCAACAATAAACTGAAACACCCTGTATACTACACTTACAATAAACACAAAAGTTGAAAGGCAATACACAATCATACCTGTAATGAGAATCCTTAAAGTATTTTGTATTCTGAACCCGGCATAGTGACCCTTTTATTCTAATATATGTTTTCTGCTCGGACTTTTCGAAGTGTGAAATATTGCGACCGTGTGCTAATATAAACATAGTGAGTATTCGAAAAGTTACATCGTTGGAAACCATATTCTTGGAACGACCCTCGTAGATTTCATGCATGCGTTATAATACGCTCACCTTTTCAGTTTTCCAGCTTCGTCAAATTCCCTTATGTTGTTTGAGTTGCAAGCAGTAACGTTGAGATCTGCAGGAGTTCCCATGCCTACCACCTTGAACGTATATCCGTGCAGGTGGAAAGAGTGGACGTCAGCGAGATCAACTGAAAGTAGATAATAAAAATGTAATCGGTCACAAAAAAGTTAGCTACGACCATGCACAATAAAAAGCTCAACATCAATCAGACTGTCCGACGTTTTCTATTTTTCCGCTTTTTGTTTCGATGTCTTGTCCTGTGCCTCCTATAGTCATGTATTGTGTCTTTTGTATATTTATCTCCAAACCCCATTTAGTGAATTCTTCTATAAGTTTGTTTATCATGTAAGTCATGTCTTGCTGGTCTTCTGCAAAGACTACCTGATCATCTGCAAAGAGGATTGTATACAAGTGAAGGTCCTCTAACCATATCCCCATGGGGCTGCACTTTCTTATCCACTGTTTTAAAGCGCTGCAGAGATAAATTTTAAACAGGGTTGGAGAGAGGCAGGAGCCCTGCTTAACACCTTTTGTTTGTGGGAAAGCCTCAGAAATTTGATTTCTGACTTTAACGACCACTTGATTTTCTCTATACATTGCTTTTACGGCGTTTATGTATTTGCTATTTATGCCTGCTTCTTTCATTGCGATCCACATTTTCTGCAAAGGGACGGAGTCGAATGCCTTGAAGAGATCTATAAAAGTAGCCTGTTCCGGTTTAACTTTACTTGACCAGGTTAGAAATGAGACCATCAGAGAAAGAATGGAAGTCGAAAATACAATAATGGACGATATAACAGAGAGGCAGTTAAAATGGTATGGACACCTGCAACGAATGAACGAAGAAAGGATACCATTAAGGGTTCGGAAATGGACACCAGCACAAAGAAATAAACGAGGAAGACCACGAAGGAAATGGATTTCAAACATCCATACCGCAATGGAAAGTAGAGGACTACATGAAGGAGACTGGAACGATAGGATACGATGGCGTATGGGTTGCGAGAAGCGACCTTAGGTTGCAGAAACTCGCCATATATATATATATATATATATATGATATATCAATCAGACCCATACAATAAGTGCATAGTCTCCACCCTTTCAGCATTGTTGCGATATAGGAAAGTTTCCTCTTTCGACAATATCAACCACTTGGCAACACTTCTATGACTATAATATTGCCACTTGCCAGTCTTACCAGGTCTATTGAAATTTCACCAGATCTGATGATTTTATAAGTAACCTGCTGATTGGTGAAACACTTTTTGAAAAATTGCAATTTCTAGTGATTTTTATAATTTCATCGACTTTGAATATTTTTAACAATCTTTCAGCTACAAAAAAGCTTCAACAATTGCTGAATTGCCGAACCGGTACAACATTTCGTAGTGCATGAGCGGAAAGAGTTTTTAGTAGTTCAAGTTATACTAAGTGACATATAAATCCGAACACTCAGTTTAAATGGTTTTATTGTAATAAAAGTTGGTGAATGTATTTATCTTACTGTAAATAACAAGTGAAACAATTTTCAGCCTTATCAGTTGGACATTCCGGTTTTTATACTGCTTTTTTTTAATTCACTAACGCTCTAAAAATGAATATTTCAGCCGCAGTAAAGAATCAACGTTGGTGGATTTTGACATCCTTTACGATCGGTTACAATGCCTAGAGTACGGAGACCTGTACGATTTCGTCAACTTAGTGAGTTTGATAGGGGCCGTATAGTGGGACTTCGGGAAGCTGGACCTTCTTTCCGGGCAATTGCAGTTAGAGTGCAAAGAAGTGTAGACACTGCGGTTAGGTGTTGTCAGGCATGGCTTCGAGAAGGCCGTACGCAAAGAGCAAGAGGCATTGGACGCCGCCGTAGAACAACAGACCGTGAAGATCGCCGCCTAAGTTTATTGGCCTTAAGGGACCGTTTCTCCACTACCAGGTCCATTTGCAAATGAATGGTTTGCAGAACACGGAGGACCTATTGGCATGCGAAGTGTTTACCGACGAATGAGAAGTTTTGGCTTGTTTTCATACCGGCCACACTGGGTCCTCCCTTTAACTCGAGAACACCGACGTAATCGCCTTGAGTGGTGCAGACAACGGTCACTCTGGGATCAGGAATGGAACAGTATTGTCTTTAGTGACAAGTCTCGATTTTGTTTAGGCATGCACGATGGTCGTGCCAGGGTTAGAAGGCGACGTGGTGAAAGGAGGAATCCACAGTTTTTTGTTGAAAGACATGTTCATCACACTGTTGGAGTTAAGGTTTGGGGTGCTATAGCTTATGGTTCCAGGTCCCCTTTAATCTTCATCAGAGGTAACACGAACGCGCAGCGTTATATCCACGAAGTTCTAGAACCCCATCTTTTACCCTATCTTGACACCCTGGCAGATCCAACTTTCCAACAAGATAATGCCCGACCACATGTTGCAAGAGTCACAATAGACTTCTTTCAACATAATGATGTCACATTGTTACCATGGCCACCAAGATCTCCCGACTTATCCCCAATTGAGCACATGTGGGATATGATTCGAGAGGAGTTGGTGGTTGCCTGGAATGAGATACCACAGAAGGAAATTGACCACCTGATCAGAAGCATACCTAGGCGCGTTGGAGAATGCGTAGCACATCAGGGTGCATCCACACATTATTAAAGGTCAAAGGGCTTTAAAGCAGTGCAATCATTTTGAAATTTTTATCATTTACTTATTATGCTTTATTAAGTACTTATACAAAATTTTATTAAAATAAAACCATTTAAACTGGGTGTTCGGATTTATATGTCACTTAGTATATTATAATCATCACATTGGAAAATAAATTTTTGTTTGGCAAAAAATATAGGATTTTTCAGTCTGATCTGGGTATTAAAAACTAGTTCAAACTCATACAAAAGCAAAAGGGAAAATGTATTTAAATTGCATCTTAGGCTGGAGAAATACCCTCTGCTAGTGTGGAACTAAAAGATCGCATGTATGGTATAAAAAGTACAAAGAATATCTTGAACATAACCGCAGTAATGGAATAGCTGACCCAGAACATGGAGTCTGCCGTAACTTTTCGCGTGAATTATGAATGTGCAAACAACGAACGACTTTTTAAAAAAGGAGGGGTCTTTGCTTTACTTATTTTGGATGACATGGGGGGTAGGGGAGTCTAGACGATTATTACGTCATCGGTAGTTATTTACTTTTTCACACGAATGGCAACCCACACATTTCCTTTGCTTGAAAACGAAACGCATTTTCGGGGATTCCCGCAAATAATGGATACGTTTAGTGAACAGCGCGCGGTAATTCCCCTACTCGCTTTAGAACCGAGTAGGGGAATTACCGCGCGGTGTTCACTTGCTTAAATTTCCTCTATCAGTGTATTGTTTCGTTTGGATACTATAACGAGTAGACGTATTGTAAGCATAGTAAAGCAAGTTAACATTTGTGTTACCATTGATTGCATTAGCCAAAGTTTAATGTTTAAATAAGATGTCGTTTCACATAGACAAATCCACGTTATACCAAAAATTGTTTGAAAGTTTTAAAAAATCTCATGCAAGTACGAAAGTACAAAATGTACAAAAGTTAGTTAACGAAGTGTGGCGAAATTACAAATTACAAGCAAACTCCGACAAGGAACTAGATATTATTGTATCTAAGAGAATCGAAGAAGAATTGCAAGCGGCGACTAAGAATAAATCCAATCTACTATTTTTTTTTCTAAGGTGAGTGACGAAATCATTTTAGGTACCTATGAATACTGGAAATATTAGAAATCGCCAAAAAGTTTCCCTTTACTGATTAAAAAATATGGCCTATCTCAAAGTATAGATGTAATATTCATTATATTATAGATATATTTCTTATGATTGATTCCGTCAATTGGTCACAATGTACAGGATGTTAGTTTTATACATAAATACAGAAAACTAACTGTATTTTGTGACCGGAACGAATTGCTCGTTTAAACATATTATATTTAAAGCCATAGGGTTTTGTAATTATCACATATATTGCCATACTTTGTATTTATGTAGCTTAATAAGAGAATCTTTAGTAGAAGCCATAGAAAGTTTTTATTTTTAGGCAATCTGTAAACCTGCAAACAAAACACAAGATGTACGGTCAGCTTCAAATATTAAAAAAGAGGAAGAAGATAAAATAAAACCCGGTAATGAATCACATTATCAATGCGAAATTGATGAAAATACAGATAAGCAGAGAGCAAAACCTTCTCAGGAAGCTATGAAAAATAAGATTGTTTTACTCGAAAAAAATCTGAATGCTTTGTATTCTGCCAGAGATACTATGCCAAGCCGTGCTGAAGTTGATAAACAGATCATTAAGTTGCGCGAGGAAATAAAAAAAGCAAAACAGTCTTTAAACAGGAAGGTTCAAAACGCAGTTGCCCAGAAGAAACACAGGGATGGTATGAAAAGAAAGTTAGAAGATATTTGTCATGAAAATCCAGAAATAAAAAAAAGACTATCTCTGAGGGATTCAGTGGGACGTCCTAATCTTGAAAGCAATCAACATTCACTATTCAAAACAATCGAGGATATAGCTTTATTTGGGAGTGCAGCAGATGATAGAAGACGAACGGAATCAATTCGCAGCGTAAAAACTCTTGATGAACTCACACAAGAATTACGTAAAATAGGATTTGACATTAGTCGCAGTGGGACATACTATAGCTTCGTTTGATTCGGGTTTCATGGACTGAAGACTGAAATTTGAATTTAATATATGTACCAAATATTTAAAATAAGTTTGTTACATTAATTGACAAATGTTTACGTAAGCGTGGGGGGAGGGTGTAAGAGCTTTGCTTACTTTTGCTGACAAGGGGGTTTGGGGGGGTGGGGGGGTAAATAATTGTAATAAATCTGATTGCGTAATACTTGAACGGCCCCAAAGTGACTTCATTCAACAGAAGAAGAATGATTACTGGAATCGAAAAGTGCAAACCTAAGCAACTCTACATACACCTTGGGCAAAACCATTATTATACATTATGATGAGGAAGAGAGATGGAAATATACAAAAGTATGTAGGTGCGTGAAAGACACTCGATTGTAGCATCCTATCTGGCAGCGTCGGAGTGTGACGGACAACGGGGTAAAGTAGAAGAGTGATACAAGAGAGAGATGGCAGAACGGGCGCTGGCGCCTACCGCTTAGACGGATGCGCTCAACAAATGCGATTTGTTTCTCCCATTCGCAGAGTTGCCGATACCAATATGTCATATGTCTAAGAAATCTAAGTCTACCCAAATTTCGGGAAAAATAGCTGCGGATTCCACATAAGAGTATTCCAAAAATGAAAAAAGTTCAAATTATTAAAATTGTATTAATGTTTCATGGTTCAAATCATGTTTTTCATGTTTGTATATTGTTGTATAAATGATTTTGTAATCCCTATTCTTGTTGCCAGTAGAGATACAACAGTATTGAGAGAAATCATGGACCGCTAGATAGGGCTACAACTACCATATGACTATCAAATAGTAGTGATAAACAGGGTTTGTTTGTAGCACAGTTGCCTGGTGTGGCGAATTTGCGCCATAGGGGCGATTTGACAACTTTGAAGGACAACTATAACGGTTACTATGGTGCCCGGTAGCATTTTAACACTATGGTATAGGATTCGGCACCAGCCTTAATTTTATTGGTCAATTTCAATTTATTCAACCAATAACAAGCCGGGTGCCGAAATCACTACCGGAATGTTAAACAGTGCTGAGCATGGGGTCAGAATGTTATCAATTTAAATTTAAATTTACTTACCTTCCGCTAAAAATACGTAAGATAATAATCAACGCACGTTGTTTCCTATTACGATATTTAATGATTTTAAAATTAATAATTTGGTTTAGCAATAAGAAAAATTACATGAAAAATTTATATATATTTATATAGGTGAAAAATTAAAGCTTCCGCCTTTTTTTGGGTACTTCGACAAAATTTAAGCAAGGAGGACTCTTTATACTTTTTTTATTCTCTCTAGCTTTCAATGGCCTTTGCCATCATCATCAGGAGAGTAGTATGTGAGGATGTTGCTAATTGTTGTTTACGTTAAGGATGAGGGAAACACCCAGTAACATGGTGAAAGCTGGATAAATGGTACAATAGTCAAAATTATATAAAATACACACAGCTGTATGACAAGAACAAGTTAAAAACAGATAAAAAATTTTTTTAGAAATTGAAAGTTAAACATTACATCGTGAAGCCGCTTGATGATTGCACAAAATGGTGGGCATGTTACTGGGTGTTTCCCTCATCCTTAACGTAAACAACAATTAGCAACATCCTCACATACTACTCTCCTGATGATGATGGCAAAGACCATTGAAAGCTAGAGAGAATAAAAAAAGTATAAAGAGTCCTCCTTGCTTAAATTTTGTCGAAGTACCCAACACAAGGCGGAAGCTTTAATTTTTCACCTAACTGGTCTAGAGGACAATGACCACGTCTCAAGTTATATTTATATATATTAGTAGAAGCAGTTTATTGATAACATTCTGACACTGTTTTCAGCACTGTTTAACATTCCGGTAGTGATTTCGGCACCCAGCTTGTTATTGGTTAAATAAATTGAAATCGACCAATAAAATTAAGGCTGGTACCGAATCCTATACCATAGTGTTAAAATGCTGCCCGGTATTCGGGAATCTGGCAATACCTGATGATTCCTAACATTTATTACGCCAGATTGTTTGCTGACGTGCGCAGTACAACATGACAATCAACGTGACTGAGCACCTGGTAACCCTGGTTTAAGGTGTTATATTTAAAGAGCTTGGGGCAGTTAGGTATCTAAGTCACATTTTTTAATGTATTTCGAGAAATCCGTAATGTTGAGTAAATACTAGATCACGTTTCTTGCTTAGTTTGCTGAAAATTCTACAATAGACGTACATTTTGAGAAACAGAGATTTGGTGACGACAAAATCGTAAAAATATAATGCATTTTCGTAAAATAATTTCTTTGTTGAAAAGACTGTGGCTTGATGACCCATTGAACGAGTATAGTGTCCCGCTCCGCTTTGAATATTCGAAACACTATACTCCAGCAGCATTCAGCTTCAATGTTATCTTTATGAAGTTCTAACGTCTAGGCCATGCTGATTAAAAGCTTGAATGAATCAACACTTAACTCTAAATTCCCCACAATTCGGGAAGCTCTACTCAAATTGGCAACACAGCGTATCTTCCTATTATTCTCATTCGTGATACAGGTCTGCGGTTAACGGTAGGAAATATGTACGAATAGCGATGAAAGTAAACGAGCCGATGCGCTGTTGCCAAGAAATGATTTCCCATGTATAACAATGGTTTTTCCTAAGGTGTATGAGATCGTCATCATAGCAGTGCCGTAATTCGTGCGAGTACAGATCAAGAATAAAAGATACTGCTGCTCATTCGAACTTACCTCCATCAATCATTACAATCTCCACAATAGAGTTGAGCGGAACATTGAAGACATTGGTGCAGGAGCAGTTTCCTGAACAGCCTGGCGGGTTCGATCCGTCGGTGGGACAAATTGAGTGTTTAGCGTCTTGATATTGACTGAGCAGCGGTGACGGCGGGAACTTGAACGAATATCCGTTCACGAACGCCTGTACGTACTGCGTTCCTCCGAAAACTGAAACGTGATGATTATGATTAAGCAAACAGTTTATGTCACCAAAATTCGATAAAAACGGAAACTGTTAATGATAAAGATGTTTATGGACTAAATACAAGACGTAATCAGTTATACAGGGTGTTTGGGGCATCGTTTGCCAAATTGAAATGGCGGACAGACGAGGTCCCTCAAACAGTTTTTAGCCCAACGGAATTAATTATGTATATTTTTTAATTTTTTTTTTAGTAAAAACTCCAAAATATCATACACAAAGTGAAATAAAATACACAACAAAATAAAGAGTATGTCCGCCTAATGATTAAATTATCTTAATGGGTGATGTTGTGCAAATCTTACAAAATCAACATTACTTGCCAGCAGCATGTATACTAAGTGACATATAAATCCGAACACCCAGTTTAAATGGTTTTATTTTAATAAAAGTTGGTGAATGTATTTATCTTACTGTAAATAACAAGTGAAAAAATTTTCAGCCTTATCAGTTGGACATTCCGGTTTTTATACTGCTTTTTTTTAATTCACTAACGCTCTAAAAATGAATATTTCAGCCGCAGTAAAGAATCAACGTTGGCGGATTTTGGTTCTTGACATCCTTTACGATCGGTTACGATGCCTAGAGTACGGAGACCGGTACGATTTCGTCAACTTAGTGAGTTTGATGGGGGCCGTATAGTGGGACTTCGGGAAGCTGGACTTTCTTTTCGGGCAATTGCAGTTAGAGTGCAAAGAAGTGTAGACACTGTGGTTAGGTGTTGTCAGGCATGGCTTCGAGAAGGCCGTACGCAAGGGGCACTGGACGCCGCCGTAGAACAACAGACCGTGAAGATCGCCGCCTAAGATTATTGGCCTTAAGGGACCGTTTCTCCACTACCAGGTCCATTGCAAATGAATGGTTTACAGAACACGGAAGACCTATTGGCATGCGAAGTGTTTACCGACGAATGAGAAGGTTTGGCTTGTTTTCATACCAGCCACACTGGGTCCTCCCTTTAACTCGAGAACACCGACGTAATCGCCTTGAGTGGTGCACACAACGGTCACTCTGGGATCAGGAATGGAACAGTATTGTCTTTAGTGACGAGTCTCGATTTTGTTTAGGCATGCACGATGGTCGTGCCAGGATTAGAAGGCGACGTGGTGAAAGGAGGAATCCACAGTTTTTTGTTGAAAGACATGTTCATCACACTGTTGGAGTTATGGTTTGGGGTGCTATAGCCTATGGTTCCAGGTCACCTTTAATCTTCATCAGAGGTAACATGAACGCGCAGCGTTATATCCACGAAGTTCTAGAACCCCATCTTTTACCCTATCTTGACACCCTGGCAGATCCAACTTTCCAACAAGATAATGCCCGACCACATGTTGCAAGAGTCACAATAGACTTCTTTCAACATAATGATGTCACATTGTTACCATGGCCACCAAGATCTCCCGACTTATCCCCAATTGAGCACGTGTGGGATATGATGGGTAGGAGATTGCTCAATTTGCAACGTCCTCCTCAGACTCTAGAAGCACTTCGAGAGGAGTTGGTGGTTGCCTGGAATGAGATACCACAGGAGGACATTGACCACCTGGTCAGAAGCATGCCTAGGCGCGTTGGAGAATGCGTAGCACATCAGGGTGCATCCACACATTATTAAAGGTCAAAGGACTTTAAAGCAGTGCAATCATTTTGAAATTTTTATCATTTACTTATTATGCTTCATTAAGTACTTATACAAAATTTTATTAAAATAAAACCATTTAAACTGGGTGTTCGGATTTATATGTCACTTAGTATATTTTATATTCTGTTTTCTTGCAAAATACAGACAAATCCACACTATTCAACAGGTATGTAATGATAACTTTCAGTATATTGAAGTTGGTAAATTCGAGAGTGCCATGTATGTTATTAACAAACGTCCAAATCTGCTGCCAAATTTAACAGCTAGAAAATCAACCTATTATTTGCCGCATTCCCATTCGCTAAAGGGGATAACGGATTGTTAAATGTAAACCTATAACATATACCAAATTACATGAAAGTTGTCCTGTTTTTTCTGTACAAAAGAGTCAAATGTGTTCTTGTTTACAACACAGTCGAATTTTCACGATTTTATTCAATATTTCAATAGAAATCACTAATATTCAGAGACCTTTGACAGCTTCTGTCAAATTGCATTTCGATAAGGTATTTCCCAATGGTCCATAATATTAATGTTGGTGAAATCGGCAATAAGATTATTTTCTTTGGGATATTTCAAGAGCAAAGTCTACAAGTATAACCCGAACACAATTGCGGAACTAAAACAGGAGGTCAGACGCGAAATTACCAACATAGGACCTGATTTGTGACACGGAGTAGTCGAAAATTTCTCGAAACGGATTACGTCATGCCTCATGAGCCGCGGCGGTCAAGCATAATCGTAATGAACTGCCGTGAAAGGACAAATACATACTTTTTTATAATTTTCAATTTCTTCTTTCTTTAAATACTTTTAATGTGGAAACCCAATTTGTATCACCCTATATATTCATTTTCACGAGCTCTGTGCATTGTATGTGTCTGAAATATGCCGCCGTCAAACAACTCTCTTCACCATTTAAGGACATCTTGAATTTTTGTACACGTTTCCCATATACTTTACTCAACTGGCGATGAATTTCTATGGATGTTCACGTTTTTGCGTGCAAAAATCGGACGACCTGGCGGTGGCGGCGATGGAGGGCTCCATTGCGCATCGTTGTCAGCTCGGTACTGAGCGTCGCCAATAGGCGCTTCTTGTTGGGATCGGTGACGGACACGACGGCGTTGCCAGATCTCGCCTAGCAGCACGCGCCTGAGCCTTATTTTTGGAACAACTCTCGTCCAAGGTGCAATTATAAGCTGGTGTTTGCAAACTCAAGACACAATACGGCTTTCTTGAATATTGCCACAGAAAAAGATCATAGAAATGAACTGCAATTGATCTTACCTGCGTATGTTCTGTGCGAGTCGTTCTGGAAGAGTTCCTCTGCCGCGTACGACGTAAGGGTATAGTTGAGATACAGCTTCACATCTGGTTTCTCTTTCAGAAGCTCCTTGTCATCTATTTCGTATCCGCTTCTCAAATGGGCCAAGCAGAGTCCGTGCGTGGTGTCGTGGCCGCATGTCGTTAATGGATAATTCAGTGCCTGAACGATAATACGTTTGTTTTATATAGGTTAGAAAATATACTTGGTGTTCCTTAATGATATGCGAATATTTAAGGGTGTTAATCTAGATAAAAAATTAATGTTAGTTTGCTTTATACAGGGTGACTTTGAAGTTGAGTCATTAATTTTCAGATAATGATTGTAGAAGGAAGATAAACCAAAATATGTGTGTAAAAATAAAAAAAAAAATTTACCTTGTTTTATAAAGTATCCTCCCGACAAGTATTTCAGTGCGGACCTGTATTTGATCGTGAGGTCTTGGAGCACCGCCATGCCGTCCCCTGTGAGGTCTTAAGTCACCTGATTCACGAGCCCGTTGTACTACATTAACAAGGGCACGAGGGGTTGGTTGCACTCGATTGGGAAACCGATCCGCATAAACATGTGCCATTTTTTATTTCGTTTGAGCCACGCAACAGACACCACTATTCACTCACGCGTTACCGACTGACACTGACTGTATACAACTGAATAAAATAATTGTAAAAACATCGTTCCAAACTGTTTCGCTTTTTGTTTCCGATGCGATGAACCGATAAGGCGGATTATATCCGTTGTTGCCAAACACGAGCACATAATATTATTATTGAGACAGGGCGGTACTCAAACTTCTAAAGGGCTATAACTTTGTCACCCTGTATATTAATAGACAGCAATCTAACATTTGAATCTCAGATAGCTGCTATTTTAAGTTTAGGAGCCTTTGTAGACTCAAATATATTCTATCTGCCGATATGAAATGGCGAATAGTCAATGCTGTTATACTATCTAACATGGACTACGGTTTAACTTTTTTTTACACATATTTAACTGCTAACTTGAAACACAAGGTTCAGGTTTTACAAAACTGTTGTTTACGGTACAGTTGCAACACTATCAACAGGTTTGAACATATATCTCCACATTACAACAATTTGGGTTATCTGAAATACGATTCGAAGGCTGAATTGCAATACAATACTATGTTGTATAAGTTGATCAAATATAAAAAACCATCATACCTTTATAACAATTTAACGCGGCTTTCTGATGTTCATAATTTAGCTACGAGAATCTCAACCTTATATGTTATTCCTACGCACTCTTCAAGCAAGTTTAAAAGTAGTTTTAGCTACATGACTCCTACCATTTTGAACAAAGAGGTTGAACTATTTGACGAAAATTCAATACAACGGTTTAAAAAATACTACAGGCTATATCTTCTTAACAAGCAAAAAGGTGTGTACTAATACGACGTTATTGTATCAGTTTCATGTACTGTAATCGTGAATTCCATCTATTATTTGGCGTTATGACCTTATCTCTATCTATTTATATTTTCTTTCTTTCTGTAGTTACTTACTTGTCCATTTATACAATTTAAATGTATAATATATATATAATATATAATATATAATATATATATAATATATACTGATTGTAATATGTTAACCATGTTATTTAACTATATCTGTCTGATGTCTATTATCAATCTATTCTTTCGCAATTTATCTATTTATATTAATGCCTTCGGAAGGGTTGAAAAAGGTCCGTACAATACCCTTTCCTTTTGAGTTGTATCTCAATAAACGTTATTATTATTATTATTATTATTATTATTATTATTATTATTATTATTATTATTATTATTATTATAAACTATGGTCCAAAAGTGTTTTCTTACCAAATCTCGAGGTGTTGAAGTTTTAGGAAAAAAATGGAAATTAATTAATATTTTCAGAACCGCTTCAGATATTTCACTGATATTTAGTACGTAGTGAAAGTTAATAAAGTTGCATATTTTTCAATGCAAAAATAATGTTTAGCTTTAATAGTGGGGTGCGTACGGGTATTGACTTCGATTTTTTTCAAGAAAAAAAATGGTACCCCAAATAAAAATTACTTTTGAATTCAAATAACAAATGATCTCTCTTATAGTGGATACCAAATAAAGCCGATGCACGTCATCGATGTGGAGCTGTGCGCTGTTGCCAGAATTTGCACATTTTCTTTTAAGCAAATAAATTTAATAAAATAAATTGTTTATATATACCTACCATTTACTATAATACCATTATATTAAAAATAAATAAACTTGTTGTAAAATTAAATTCCTTTCTGAATAAAAACACCTGATTTGGTAGATATTCAAAAACACAAAATATTTAAAGAACATAAATTGTTTTCTCGTATTTTAATTAATTTGATTATTTATTTATGACATGGGAACTACAACACTTTTTCAATTCACATCAAAGAGAAGACAGAACTCGGGTGATGCGATGTTACACAATACCGGCAACTAGCGGCAAGGAGTACTCCTTATCGAGCCTGATATTAACCGCATGGTATGGTTCAGTTGTATATCAATTCCGGAGTTTGATTACATTATACAGAATATATTTTGATGTTTTAACTATTCTGAATCACTGGAATCAGAGTCATCGTTAACATGGATAATAAGGGGAAGAATTTCCTGTCTATCCATTACTTGTTCCCTTCTATACCATTTCATAATTATCTCCTCTGTATGTCTAATGGAGTTCTTCCACATATCAGGGGTAATAGTTTGGAGTGCCTCTTGTCACATTTTTAGGCAGTCATTTTCAGTGTGGCCATCTCTTCCAATATGCCGATTATAGTAATCTTTAATTAGCTCAATTGGGTTAAAAATACAGTGGTATGGAGGTAACCGTAAAACTTTATGTCCATATTGTTCTGCCAAGTTATCGACCACATACATTTTGGTTGGTTTATTCCCAAAAAAATAAATAGGAACAAAATGCATAAGGATTGGGTATTCTGCTCACTGTGCAACAATCGTTAGAAGTTCAGATTTGAATGCTTCATGTGGATACTGTATTTTTTGTTCAGTTAACCAATTCTGAATTTCAGCCTTTCTCCATGAGCTATTGGGAGTTTTTACTAATAACATGCTATGGTATGATGTATTATCCATAACAATCACAGAGGGTTGGGTCAAGCTTATTAGTAATTGATTTTCAAACCAATATAAAAAGTTTTGCTGCTTCATTTCACCATGGTAATCATTAAGCTGGGTTTTCGATGAAAATATGAGCGACGCACCTTCAACAAATCCATTTTCATTGCCAGCGTGAACTATAATATACCTACAAATGCATTTCATTTTTATATAGAGCTTATTTTTCTATACATTTGAAAGCCCACCTTTTTCCATCAGCTTTGGTACTTCTAACACTTCGCTTGGATACTTTACACCACTTCACAGTAACTGTTGTTCTGAAAAGAACAATTTTTAACTGGCAAGGCAACGATTCAAAGCTCAATTAGCGCAAAACTCACAAGCTAAACAATAAAGAACTAATAGTACGACAAAAGGACAATGGCAACTGATGTCAACAAATGAGAAGTGGCAACCTCACATTTCTCTGCACGGCACTACCAACCGAATCGAGACGGGGAAATTTAAACTTCAAGTAGAAATGTCACATTGAATGTAGTCAACTGTTGGTAACCATGATTTTTATGAATGACATCACCTATGACGTGCATCGGATTTTATTTGGTATCCACTATAGATTATTTTTCTTCGATGCGCCATTTTTGAGTAAAAAAATAAAAACCGTTCTATTGTCTAACATGCAAAATTATTATTAATTTAATAAATGGGTTTCGGTTACGGCATAGGGATTTTCTTCTGCCCACAAATGATTATTGTGGAAATTCTGAATGGCATTTCGAGAAAAATTAGCTTCGTCCGTGAACGAGTCATTGATTCAAATTGCGGATTTTGTGTAACTTTTTGAAGATACCACTGACTAAAGGTCACACACGCCTTGGAAAATCGATAGGAAGTAATGCCTGTACTCTTAAAATATGATAAGGATATAACAAAAAATCCACTAAAATTCTCCAAACAATTTGATGGCAAATATTTAAGTGTCTGGCGGTCTTCCTCGTATTCGTTTCAGGATGTTCTTCGACTTCGTGCAGCACTGCTTCCTCAATTTCAGGTGATCTCACACTTAGAGGTCTACCTTCAGATGTTCCTTTTCGGACAGAACCAGTTTCAACAAGACGACGATGGATATTAGAAAAGGTTCAACTATCTGGCAAAGCACGATCGTGATATCTCTGGTGACAAATCCGTCTGGCTTGCTCACCATTACCGTCGGCAAGGCCATATACGTAACGCACTTGCGCCATTTCTTTATTTGAAAATAGTTCACCATTATTAACAAGATTGTAAAAACTAAGTAATGTAAACGTTGTCACAGCGAACAAACAGACTTGCAATTTTTATATAGGTGATTTTTGGTATATCCACTCCGATAAGCAGTTAAAACAAATGACTCAACTTTGAAAGCACCCTGTATACTTGGTCCTAAAATTAAATTTACACTTTAAGTATTGTTTGAAAGCTTTTTTGATGCATACATCTTTGTATAATGTTTATGAGTTTATCAGTGTGTAAATGTTGTTTATTATCTATCTAAAGAGGACCTAAAAATGTCAGTAAATAAATACATTAATGATTTCCAAATTCCAAGTATTGCAACAAATATAGCACAAAACGTCGATGAACTTAATTTATGTACACAAAATTCTGATCCAAAATTTCGAATTTTTAATATAATATAATAAACATAAGGAGTATAAAACACAACATTGTTTACTTAAAAATACTACTCGACCAAATATGGTACAATTTTGATCTAATAGTTTTAACTGAAACGTGGCAAGTGGTTGATATTTCTTGCTTCAATCAGCAGGGATATGACACGCTGTATAACTATGGCACTTATAACCAAAACGATGGGGTGATAGTTTTTGTAAGAAATAAACTACAATATAATCACTTTCAGCGATGGAATCAAAATTTTAAACATAATAATCCAAATTAACCATAACAAAATTGAGGTATATGCAATTTATCGTCCGCCATGTTCAGAACCCCACGAGTTTTTAAAGAATATCGTTTTTTTTTCAAAATCAAAATAAAGTTCATTTAAAGCAACATATTTTCTTGGGAGATGTCAATATAAATATTTTGGACGATGATCCCATCACAAATGAATACTTGAATATCCTATCAAGTAACGGATTTCTGTCCTATATAAACCTACCTACAAGGTCCATCAGTGGCACATGTATAGATCACTGCTTTGTGAAAGACCTATCCAACAAAATTACTTGTATACCAATAATCCTAGAAAGCGATATTACTGACCACTTCTCCACTATTTTACTGATATCTTCAAATGAAAAACATTCTAACATCCCTACCGTTAGTAACAACCAGGAAAATTACAAATTTTTTGTCGACAATTCAAAACTAATATCAAATTTCAAACAAGAATCCTGGGAACAATTATACTCTATAAATAATATAGACAAAGCAATGGGACTGTTCATAGAGAAAATAAAAAAACTAATAGATATTAGTACCAATAAAGTAATAATTAGTCACAAAGAGAAAAGCAGAAATGCCTGGATTACCAAAGGATTAATAACATCGGCAAAAGAAAAAGAAAGACTATATAATGTAATGAAACTAACGCCAACTACAGAGAATACCGGCTGCTACAACCAATATAAAAATAAATTTATAGAGCTTGTAAGGCAAACCAAACGAAAACATTACCTAAATAAATTGAATAATAACTTAAATGATCCTAAGCGGCTTTGGACAACTATTGATGAGATTACTGGGAAAACAAAAGTTAAAGAGTGTGTCACTGAGTTAAATTCAACATCGGGAACAGTATTAAAAAATACTCAACAGATATGCGATGAATTTGTACAATTCTTTACTGACATAGGCGAAAATTTAGCAAGTAATATACAAGCAAATGTACAAAATACTCAGCCTCCAAAAAGAACTTTGAACTCATTTATTTTGGATAATGTCGAGCAATGTGAAGTATACACCACTGTTATGTCCTAAAAAATCGGAAAAGTCCTGGGTTCGATGGTATTAAAAGCGAGCATTTGAAAATTATAGCCGAGGACATAACAGAACCACTCACTTACCTAATCAACAAATGCTTTGAATCTGGCATATATCCCTCAATTTTAAAAAAAGGTAATATAATACCGATACATAAATCAGGAACAAAAACAGATGTTAACAACTATAGACCAATATCAATAATATCCAGTGTAGCAAAGGTTTTTGAAAAAGTTTTACCTACTAGAATGATTCGATACCTCACAAAATTCAAAATTTTAAGTGAAAATCAATATGGATTTACAGAAGGGAAGGCTACATCGGACGCAATAACTAAAATTGTAAATCAAATACATCAAAATTTTGATAACAGAATCCCTTCAATCTGCATTTTTGTTGATTTAAAGAAAGCTTTCGATACAGTTAATCACAAATTATTATTAGAAGCATTGGAGAGAATTGGTTTCAGAGGAAACGCGTACTCACTGATCGAAAGTTATTTGTCAAATCGCCCACAATCTGTGCAGATATCAGGATCATTTAGTAAAGAAATGTATATTAAGTGTGGTATCCCACAAGGAACTGTCTTAGGTCCGCTGTTATTCAATATATATTTAAATGATATTTTCCAAATTAATTGTGTTGGCAAAATAACTAGTTTTGCAGATGATACTGCAATATTATATGAAGGCACTGACTGGTCTGATCTGAAAAATGTAATTGAAAATGATTTTATCAAAATTATTCAGTGGTTTAACAGTAGAAAATTAAGCATTAACTACTTTAAAACACATTTTTTACCATTTGGATCTTATGCTAGACATCTGCCAAATTACACAAATTTCTCCTTCAATATTAATGATCAAAAAATGCAAATTAATAGAGTGCCCAACATAAAATACCTTGGAGTGGTCTTGGATCCTCACTTACGATGGGACATCCATGTCAATTATATTTTAAAGAAAGTTAAATTTGTATCCTACAAAATTAAATACCTTGGGAATATATTGACAGAAAAATATCTTCGAACATTATACCATGCACTGATTGAGCCTCATCTCATATATGGTATATTAGCATGGGGAGCTGCTTGTTCCTCACATATCTATAATTTAGATGTTTTTCAAAAAAGTATTCTAAAAATGATATTTAAAAACCGAAACTTTATCCCACTGAAAAATTATACGCAGATGTTCGAATGTATGATATAAGACAGCTTTATTTCTTACACAGTATCACTCACTACCATAAATTTGTAAACACCGACCAAAAAATTAAACATAATCATTATACCAGGTACAAAATTCGTGGCACAGTAGTTCCTCAACCGCATAAATCTATAATGCAGCGATCATATCTCTATTTAGCGCCTAAATTTTATGAAATTATACCTAAAGACTTAAAAGATTTACGTTTCGGAAATTGCTTCAAAAGAAATTTAAAAAAGTGGCTACATTCTATATCTAGGACTGAAATTCATAAACTCATAAATACGAACATCAACTAAATACATAATCTACTGTAGCTAATTTTTGTCCTTTTTTGTCATTTGCATTCTACAGTTTCAACTTAAATTATTGGTCCATGTACAGGCGATGCCTTCTATTGGGCCTGTTTTGATTTTATATTTATTTACTCATATTGTTTATTATCTTTGTACATTGTTGAATAAATATTATTATTATTATTATTATTATTATTATCTTGTTTTATTTATCGTTCTGTTATGTCTCTGTATATAGCTGCTCTCTTGACGATTCCTATACAAACATTGTCTGAAGAAAGATAAATTATCATTGTATTATTATATGATGTCACATGTACCAAATTAGTCTTTTCTAGCTGAAACATTACGTCAAGTAAATGTGTCATTTTTCACTTACCAAGCCCGTATGATTCAATGCTTCTTGGTATGTAGGAACCACAGCCAGTTTAGTAGAATCTGAACCTTCGTATTTAAGGATAGCCAGTTGCTGAATTTGGTCATCAAGACATAATCCAGTCGCCCAAAACTGTATCCAGTATTCGCCCGCCTCTTGGTCTGCGTGTAGAATGAAGTCGTATCTCTCACCTATGAAATTTCCGTTTCGCTTTACTTATTGAGGTGGAAACTGGGGTCGAATTGTTATAATATTTACTGGATCTGCTCTTTAATCATTCCATTCGTATGAACATAAAATGGTTCGACCTATCCAGATAAATTTTGGAATGCTCAAGATCAAAGAAAGTGTTATTTGGAAGACGTAATACAACCAAGTTAGGCATTTTCTCTCTAAACATTTTCTTCCTCAAATCCAACAATTTAACCTGCAAAACAGGTTCCAGCAGCACTGAGCAATTTGTTACACAGTTAGGGAAACAATAAATCTTTTGCCAACAATATTTCTCAATTTGGTGATGTCAACTGGCCACCAAGGTCACCGGATTTAAAGGCTCCTGACTTTCTTTTATGGGGATTTTGAAAAATAGGGTTTATACCAACAAACCAAATACTGTAGAGCAGCTGAAGAACAATATTAGGGAAGCAATTGAAAATATTTCTCCCGAAACCTGCCAAAAGTGATGAAAAATTTAATCAAGAGGGCTCAGGTATGCGCGGCTTCCGGAGGCGGTTATTTGTCTGATACTATTTTTCATACATAATTTCTGAGTTTCAGTAAAAGACTAAGATGAAAGAAATGGACGAATTTTATTTACAGTTACATATACTTACCAGCTGAACTATGTATCGCATCCACAACTTGCGGACGCACCAACTCTCCATCCGTAGTTATGACTGTCAGGTTATGGCCGATAACCCTCATGCCCAAGGTGCACGCGGACGTCATAGAGTTGATCATTCTGAACCTGTACCTGTACCCCTTCTTCACGTTGAAGACTTCCAGTGGCGTTGTTGTAGTGTTGCCGGCGCTCGCATCAGTCCATCTTCCTTTTCCGTTGATCAAGAGTGATTTCGGTTGCTGAGCAGTGCTTCTCTGGAAATGTTCGGCCTTGAGTCATGAAACTTGTGTATCGAATACAAGGCGGACCATAATAAAACTCACTTGCAAATGAAAGCAGGTTATACCTAGAAGAGTATGCTAATTTTTATTAAAATATTATTTTTTATAAAAAAGCATTGCCGATTTATGTTTTGAACAAGACGGCTCCCAGATCTTCGAGAACACTCTTCCAAACGGGACCTCACATTGTCGAACACTTGCCTGCGAGTTGCTCTTGAGATTGCCGCCATTTCGTGATTAATGCGTTACTTCTTTGGTTTTTGGATTAGCATTGTAGACTCGGCTCTTAAAAAGAACTCGGGTGGGGTCAAGTCTGGACTTCGTGGTGGCTAATCAATGTCACTTCCCTTCGATATCACTTTTCCAGGGAACATTTCATGTACGATGCCCGTGCTCACGTTGGACCTGTGACAGGTGATGCTGTCCTGTTGAAACCACGCCACGGAGTTGGAACCATCAAAATATTGGCAAAAAATTTTCTCATCATTCGAACATAATGTTCTGGATTAACAGTTACAGATTGCCTCCAGTATCGACAGCTGTGCTTGTTCACAAAATCGTTCAAATGAAAGTGAACCTCGCCTGAAAAGAGCATGTTTTCCAAATCACAAAACCGCTTAAGGACTAACACTGGGAATTCTGAGCTCTTTGTAAGGTCAGTGTCCTTTAATTCGTGGAGGATTTTGAATCGTATATGGATGAAGTTTCAGGTCATATGTTTAAGGAAACTGGAAGTATAGTACGTGAAATTTAATGTAAAAAAACCGAGTATATGATTATAGGTGACAGCGATAGAGATGATTTGGATGTTGGAAATCATAGCATACAGAACACAACATCATTCAAATATCTGGGTTTAAGGTTTACGGTGAATGGCAAGAGCAACCAAGACATTTCAAATAAAATAGCACAGAATAAAAGAGCAATTAGGCAACCAAATTCTATTCTATGGGGTACTAGAGAGATAAACAAAACAAAGAAATATTTGAAGCTATAGTAGAACATATATGTACCTACGGCTCAGAAATATGGGAGATGACCAAAAGAAATAAAGAGAGGTTGATGTCCCTGGAAATGGATTACTGGAGCAAAAGTTGTCGAATTTCCAGACTAGAACATGTTAGGAACGAAAGAATTAGACAAACTCTGGATCGACTCGAACAGATTCACTCACTTCCCCTATTATTTTATCCGTACCTACAGTCGGCGGGCGACCTTGACGTCTTAAGGCCTATTCATGCTCAGCCGTGACGTGACAGACTAAAAAGGTTCTTCCTGAAATTTGGATGAACTGATTCACACTAGACCGGCACGTGGAAGTGGCCGTATTTTGCAACGATTTTTTTGGATCTTCACGGCCGAGTTTTTATGTAATTTCGTGAATATCTTGATATATACTAAGTGACATATAAATCCGAACACCCAGTTTAAATGGTTTTATTTTAATACAATTTAGTACTTAATGAAGCATAATAAGTAAATGATAAAAATTTCAAACTCATTGCACTGCTTCAGCGCCCTTTGACCTTTAATAATGTGTGGATGCACTCTGATGTGCTACGCATTCTCCAACGCGCCTAGGCATGCTTCTGATCAGGTGGTCAATGTCCTCCTGTGGTATCTCATTCCAGGCAACCACCAACTCCTCTCGAAGTGCTTCTAGAGTCTAAGGAGGACGTTGCAAATTGAGCAATCTCCTACCCATCATATCCCACACGTACTCAATTGGGGATAAGTCGGGAGATCTTGGTGGCCATGGTAACAATGTGACATCATTATGTTGAAAGAAGTCTATTGTGACTCTTGCAACTTGTGGTCGGGCATTAGCTTGTTGGAAAGTTGGATCTGCCAGGGTGTCAAGATAGGGTAAAAGATGGGGTTCTAGAACTTCGTGGATATAACGCTGCGCGTTCATGTTACCTCTGATGAAGATTAAAGGTGATCTGAAACCATAAGCTATAGCACCCGAAACCATAACTCCAACAGTGTGATGAACATGTCCTTGAACAAAAAACTGTGGATTCCTCCTTTCACCACGTCGCCTTCTAACCCTGGCACGACCATCGTACATGCCTAAACAAAATCGAGACTCGTCACTAAAGACAATACTGTTCCATTCCTGATCCCAGAGTGACCTTTGTCTGCACCACTCAAGGCGATTACGTCAGTGTTCTCGAGTTAAAGGGAGGACCCAGTGAGGCCGGTATAAAAACAAGCCAAAACTTCTCATTCGTCGGTAAACACTTCGCATGCCAATAGGTCTTCCGTGTTCTGCAAACCATTTATTTGCAATGGAACTGGTAGTGGAAAAACGGTCCCTTAAGGCCAATAATCTTAGGCGGCGATCTTCACGGTCTGTTCTACGGCGGCGTCCAGTGCCCCTTGCTCTTTGCGTACGGCCTTCTCGAAGCCATGCCTGACAACACCTAACCACAGTGTCTACACTTCTTTCCACACTAACTGCAATTGCCCGAAAAGAAAGTCCAGCTTCCCGAAGTCCCACTATACGGCCCCTATCAAACTCACTAAGTTCACGAAATCGTACAGGTCTCCGTACTCTAGGCATCGTAACCGATCGTAAAGGATGTCAAGAACCAAAATCCGCCAACGATGATTCTTTACTGCGGCTGAAATATTCATTTTTAGAGCATTAGTGAATTAAAAAAAAGCAGTATAAAAACCGAAATGTCCAACTGATAAGGCTGAAAATTTTTTCACTTGTTATTTACAGTAAGATAAATACATTCACCAACTTGTATTAAAATAAAACCATTTAAACTGGTGTTCGGATTTATATGTCACTTAGTATATTTGGTGAAAAACATGAATGTTGAAGAATTAATTGAATATGTGCTGTACAACCATTCAAATTCAAAATACATGGACTTCCGTTTTCTTCTCGTTTCCTTTCCTTCTTAATCCATAATGAATACAATAATTGCAAGTTCAGCCTCTGAAAATTATTCCATTTCGACCTCACGTGATCACAACTGCAATCAAAAACACTGTGAGCTCGCGTCAGCGAGTATCACTCGCACTGTCACGTCACGGCTGAGTGTGAATAGACCTTTATTGACAATGTCGAACCGAAAACCTCCTCAACCACTGATTCATTCCACATACGACCCGAAATAAACGTCTCACAATGACATAGAATGCTTGCACCACAAAGGCGCGCTGTTGCCCCGTGAATTGACTCATGGATATTGCAAATGCATGAAGTATCATGCAATCGAACGGTGCTGCCCTCTAGCGTTTCCGCGGGCATTCCGCGGTTTTATTTAAGAAACAAAAGCCTGTACTATGCTTTGGATTAATGCGTCGGAATTCCTTAATAGTGTGGTCTCCAGGTCTTTCGACATACGGAAAAGTATCTTCTTCGATTTGCTTTTGCTTCCCGTGCCACTGGCGAGGAAGTATTATAATCGCTAAAAGTTTAGAAATTTTTGGCAGTCGTATACGCCTCCAGCCGACATTTTTCACTCATCATAAAGTTCCCCGTATATTTGAAGACTTGAACTGAATAATGTGCTAAGTGCCAAAGTTAATATTTTGAGATAAACAATAATTTTGTTCTACAATCAATGTATTGAAAAAAACTTTCTGGAAATTAAACAAGTATTTTTCTGTGGACTTAATATTTTCGGGAACTTTTTGTAAAAAAATAACAGAAACAAATTATAACAGTTACAAAATCATAGAATGTCTAAATGCCATTACAAAAATATAGGTATTGTGGTAAATAACGCAAAAATATAAACAAATTTAGCTTCTAATGACAATTGGTATTCAATATATACAGGGTGGCCCATCCATGTGTGGACGGAATATTACTCAAAAACAAATACATTTTGGGAAAATCTATCTATGGGATGTTATACATGACATTTTAGGGCACATTTCTAAAATATTGGCAATTATACAGGGTATCCCAATTTTGACCCACATATCAAAGTTGTGATTTTTTAAATGGAATTCCTCAAATTTTATTGCATATGTGGATTAACTAATTCAAAAGAAGAAGATTGGTATAACATACTATGGGGATTTCTGAGATATAAGGTGTTCTGTCTAGAAAAACCCCCCACTTTGGCAACCCCTCAGTCCGCTATTTTAAAATTTGGAGTGCTGAGTTTTGTATAACAAAAACTAATACACTTCAGCTTTTTTATCTTATTTGTTAATTTTTCGAATTCTAATTTTTGCTCATACAGGGTGGTCAAAAACGCAAATTGTAGTTTTTCTCAAAAATTTCAATTGCATCACCCTATATATTTGTGCAAGTTTGGATTCAGGTTTTCATACGCTTTATTTGATACTAGATACACAAGGGCATCTACGTCTATTTTTTAGTGATAGTTGCTTCTTAATGTTGTTGTTATAGTTGTTTTTCTCTATTACGCTTGAAGCTGATTTGGGTGTGTTGTTCTATTAAAAGCTTAATAACTCAAAATCTGGTGATTTTATCTGAATCAAACCTTATACCAAAAAAAGCTTATGAAAAATCGAATCCAAACTGGTACAAATATACAGGGTGATGCTTTTGACATTTTTGAGAAAAAGTACAATTCACGTTTTCGACCACCCTGTGTGAGCAAAAATCAAAATTCGAAAAAGTGACAAATAAGATAAAAGCTGAGTATATAAGTTTTTTTCTATACAAACTTCAGCACACCAAATTTTAAAATGGCGGACTGAGGGGTTGCCGAAGGGGACGGTTTTTCTGGACGTAGCTAATTACCAAAGCCTCTTAGTATGATATATCAATCTTTTTCTTTTGAATTGGTTCAGCCAAATATGCAATAAAATTTTAGGCATTCCATTTAAAAAGTTACAGCTTTGATAGGTAAGGTGAAATTGGGACACCCTGTATAATGACAATATATTAGAAACGTGGCCTCAAATGTCATGTATAACATCCCATAAATAGATTTTCCCAAAATGTATTTGTTTATGAGTAATATTCCGTCCACACATGGATGGGCCACCCTGTATATATTCAATATATGTATATTCATAAAATTGTCTATATTCTTTCTTCAAATAAGGGATCATTACCAGCAGGTATTGTTTTTTAGATATTTATTCAATTTATAAACTCACATTCTGTAAAACTTACATTTTTTTTTTTTTTGAGAAATCAACTACTTTCGTAACTGTGCATGTGTGATTAAAACTTGTCGGATAAGTTGTGAAACATCCTTTATCACTGTTGTTGGTTATATCACCTAGAACATTTTACAGGTATAAAATGAAAAGCCTGCAGGAATTTTTCTCAGGGGAATAGGGAGAGCCATCTATCGTCAACAGATAACTTTTGCGTGAAAGCTTAGCTTTTCCAAAATTTTTTGAAGGGCATATTTTGTCAGAGACCCAATTCCCACATCGCCTCAAAATTGTACAAAAAACAACGTTTGACTAACTTGATTTATTTAATTATTTTATTATACAAGGAGGTACCTAAAAATAACCGGAATAGAAAAAATATCAGGCTTACTGAAGCAAAAATCACGCTCTATCGAAAGAATGCATCTACTCACAGAAGCGCTCTAACAGTAGAAAAATAATAATTATTCAATTACGTTTAAACTGCTTCCCTACTCCTGTATGTGGAGCGGTGACATCAGAAAAGCTGCGGATCGGATTGATCGTAAAGGAAAGGAGGTCGTTGATGTGTAAGAGGAACAGTGTCGAAGCCAAGACCGATCCCTGAGGAACACCCGCGTTGACGTTGTGGAAAGCTTCTCTGTGAGACCATAGGATGATAGTTTGCGTAATTGCACTTACCGTTCTCAATCCTGGAAACTTGCTCTCGATGTGCGTGTGCATCCAGTCGTTGACGAACACTACGTGCTCGGGAAGATCATAGTCGAACAGATGTGCAGCACCGTCCTGGCTGCGAGGCAATCTCGCGATGACGCTGCCCTCGATACCGTCGAATTTTTGAAGGCCCGAGTGCGTGTGGTAGAAGTATGTGCCCTCGTTGGTGATCATCTGGTATCTATTGTACAAATAAGAATACAGTTATAGTACAGAATCTGTAGTAAATTAACCACTGCTTTCCCAATGGCCAAAGAATTGACGCGAAATCATTTTTTGAAATACAGAATCGAAAACTGCGAGAGTGAATGACAGCTTCTGTTGGAGCTATTAAAGCATCTACGGCTGAGTCATCACTGAGACCGCTAGATGCCATCGATTCTGGTAGATATAGCAGACGATGGGAGGAGATTTGACAAATAATATCAAACAAAATGGTGAAGTTCACCACGTGAAACAGGATTGTTTAAATCATTTGTTATAACTGAAGTAGACTGTCAGTATATTCTCAATGCCATTATGACTAAAAAATTGAAAAAGCTCTAAAGTTAACAACTCACCTTGTGTGCGGTTTGATTTAGCTGCCCCACAACAAAAACTTGTCAACATGAATACCACAGGATTAGTTTCAGGTGTTATATTAGCATTGTGAGAGCTATTCTGCTATAGTTGTAGTCACCGTTCTTGGCGTTAAAGTCGTCAACGCCATATGAAATAAGTAAACAGATCGAGTCTCCGTACCATGGGCGGAACTCTGCGCAGACTAATCTTCACCGCATCCGCTACTCTCTCCAGTACACATGAAGAGAGTAACACGTGACCGCTGTTTTCATTCTCTTCCTTTAAATACTCTAAAAAATTTTCTCCATTGATCGTATTTCCGGGCATTGTACAATTTTATATTGAAGATTGATAACAGGACAACTCAAATTGCACGCCGATGACAAGTAAGTTGTCACCCTGACAAATATGATTGAAGGGCACTCATACGTAGAGACAAAGTTTTCTAGATGGAGACACAGAACTAAAAAACGTATGTCTTTGAGCTTACTGAACAAACGTTCACACACAGAGGTAGGATGCATGTGTATTTGTGAGGAAGATGGAGATATATAAAGGGATACTGGTAGTCTTACTTATACGCGCCAAGAACGGTGACTACAACTATCATATAGCATTCATAAAGATTAAACTTCCTTGAATCTGTCACTAGCTAAATATACTAAGCGACATATGAATCCGAACACCCAGTTTAAAAGGTTTTATTTTAATAAAAGTTGGTGAATGTACTTATCTTACTGTAAATAACAAGTGAAAAAATTTTCAACCTTATCAGATGGTTTTTATACTGCTTTTTTTAATTCACTAACGCTCTAAAAATGAATATTTCAGCCGCAGTAAAGGATTTCGGATTCTTGACATCCTTTACGATCGGTTACGATGCCTAGAGTACGGAGACCTGTACGATTTCGTCAACTTAGTAAGTTTGATAGGGGCCGTATAGTGGGACTTCGGGAAGCTGGACTTTCTTTTCGGGCAATTGCAGTTAGAGTGCAAAGAAGTATAGACACTGTGGTTAGGTGTTGTCAGGCATGGCTTCGAGAAGGCCGTACGCAAAGAGCAAGGGGCACTGGACGCCGCCGTAGAACAACAGACCGTGAAGATCGCCGCCTATGATTATTGGCCTTAAGGGACCGTTTCTCCACTACCAGGTCCATTGCAAATGAATGGTTTGCAAAACACGGAAGACCTATTGGCATGCGAAGTGTTTACCGACGAATGAGAAGTTTTGGCTTGTTTTCATACCGGCCACACTGGGTCCTCCCTTTAACTCGAGAACACCGACGTAATCGCCTTGAGTGGTGCAGAACAACGGTCACTCTTGGATCAGGAATGGAACAGTATTGTCTTTAGTGACGAGTCTCGATTTTGTTTAGGCATGCACGATGGTCGTGCCAGGGTTAGAAGGTGACGTGGTGAAAGTAGGAATCCACAGTTTTTTGTTGAAAGACATGTTCATCACACTGTTGGAGTTATGGTTTGGGGTGCTATAGCTTATGGTTCCAGGTCACCTTTAATCTTCATCAGAGGTAACATGAAGCGCAGCTTTATATCCACGAAGTTCTAGAACCCCATCTTTCACCCTATCTTGACACCCTGGCAGATCCAACTTTCCAACAAGATAATGCCCGACCACATGTTGCAAGAGACTCAATAGACTTCTTTCAACATAATGATGTCACATTGTTACCATGGCCACCAAGATCTCCCGACTTATCCCCAATTGAGCACGTGTGGGATATGATGGGTAGGAGATTGCTCAATTTGCAACGTCCTCCTCAGGCTCTAGAAGCACTTCGAGAGGAGTTGGTGGTTGTCTGGAATGAGATACCACAGGAGGACATTGACCACCTGATCAGAAGCATGCCTAGGCGCGTTGGAGAATGCGTAGCACATCAGGGTGCATCCACACATTATTAAAGGTCAAAGGGCTTTAAAGCAGTGCAATCATTTTGAAATTTTTATCATTTACTTATTATGCTTCATTAAGTACTTATACAAAATTTTATTAAAATAAAACCATTTAAACTGAGTGTTCGGATTTATATGTCACTTAGTATATGTTATATGGAAATTAAACTCCACTTTTGCTACTATTTCTTGACCTTGATGGCGATTTGGGTTAAGCTTACCTAAACGTCTGTCCCGCGCTAATAGGACATTGCGTGATCATGGGTACTCCATCAAAATACTGAGTATTCTTCTGACGGAGGCCGTGCCAGTGAAGTGTCGTGTCGTAACCCTCCATCGCGTTCGTCACGTCAACGACGATCCTGTCGCCTGCGCAAACCTAAGCGTACATAAGAAAGGTCATTTAAATATATATAATATACAGGGCGGCCCAACGAAAAGGCCGCACCCTCATTTGTAACGCTCCTGATATATTGTACACCGTCTTGTTGAAAATGAATGAAAAATTAACTTCATTTCCTGTTATACCGGTAATTCATTGCTCTGTTGTAGCTCTAGCTCTAAAAGAAGGAGACTGAGAAGATAGAAGACGACAAGGAGGAGAGTAAGAGTCGAAGAAGGAGAAAATTCTAAATAATTTTATTTCATGTTTTATACTGTTACCTGTATACTTGGTGCGGGCAGCATTTTGTTGACTGCTAGCAGAGTTCGCTCAAAACCATCAGCCAAGATGCAAGGGCACTTGGAAGTAAACTTATCGTCAGGATGGCACAGATCGCAGGGCCTGCAAAGTAATCAGGTAGGATTAAGAACCGGTTTATATTGACTATAATAAATAAAATAGAACACCCAAAAATGGCGTTTCGTTCACACAACTGCCATGTTCTCTCTGTTACAAAAATAACTATCCCTCAGACCTATGAGACATTTTGACATTTTTCTTGTCCAAACATGATTTTCCATCATATCAGCAATACTGCCAAACAAAATCGACTATATTAAGCGGTAATCTTTTGTTTTTCGTTTAACCGTTCGCTTGTCGAGTCTGGATCGCAGCGTTTGACGTCGACGCAGTTTTTCCTGTTTTTTTTTTTTCGGAAACTAGAAACTCGGCGCTTTACGGGCGAGGAGGTAAGAGGAACAGATAACAAATAACATATGACAGATGACAGATAAAAGGTAACAGATAACATATGACAGATGACAGATGACCGGTGACAGGTGACATGTGACAGGTGACAGATGACCGCTGACAGGTGACCGATGACAGATGGCAGATAAAGGATAGAGGATAAAAGATGAAAGGTCAAAGATAAAGGATAAACGATAGATGTAAGATCAAAGACGATGAAGGATAACAAATGATTGAGGATAGGGATAAAGTATATCGCTAGCATTGCATTAGGATACCAGCAACCGCGGTAGTGGACTTTTTAAATAAAGACATCAACGTACAATATTTAGCATAGCATTAGCATGCTAGCAACTGCGCTAGTTCATTAATACGCTTTGTAGTCTGAAGTCACCTTGAACTATAATATTATTGTTAGCATTATTCAAAACTATATAACAATACTTAAATAGCCAGTTGATTATGAAAACTGATTCCAACTGAAGCTAATTTAAAGTGTTGAAGTTGATTGCAATGAGACTGAAGCTATCTAACTTACAAAAAGTGTGTCCACTGCTTTGGTGGGAATAATATCAACTCGCCCTAGTTTATACAGGGTGACTTCGAAGTTGAGTCATTTATTTTAACAGTGAGTAGATCTGATCAAAAGAAATGTTTTTTTCCTTTACCATTTTTCTGGTAAAATTAAAGTAACAAAGTTATAGCCCTTTGGAAGTTTGAGTACCGCCCTGTCTCAATAATAATATTATGTGCTCGTGTTTGGCAACAACGGATATAATCCGCCTTATCGGTTCATCGCATCGGAAACAAAAAAGCGAAAGAATTTGGAACGATGTTTTTACAATTATTCTATTCAGTTGTATACAGTCAGTGTCAGTCGGTAACGCGTGAGTGAATAGTGGTGTCTGTTGCGTGGCTCAAACGAAATCAAAAATGGCACATGTTTACGAAAATGCTTATTTACGCGGCATCACGGATTTATGCGGATCGGTTTCCCAATCGAGTTGAACCAACCCCTCGTGCCTTTGTTAATGTAGTACAAAGGGCTCGTAAATCAGGTGACTTAAGACCTCACAGGGGACGGCATACCGGTGCTCCAAGACCGCACGATCAAATACAGGTCCGCACTGAAATACTTGTCGGGAGGATACTTTATAAAACAAGGTAACATTTTTTAAATTTTTTTTTTATTTTTACACACATATTTTGGTTTATCTTCCTTCTACAATCATTATCTGAAAATTAATGACTCAACTTCAAAGTCACCCTGTATAGGGTGTGCATTATTTTCTTGATAATGCAGAAGTGATTTGATAAATTTTCTAACAATTAATGGGCATTTGAAAATATATGTCGCTGAGTTTCGACTTGATCCCAAGATCCTTACATGTTCCACAAATTTTACTTTTTGAGACAAGCATTTCGTATATCGACAATAGCCATTCCAAACACGTTTCAACATTTACAACATGATAGTAGGAGGCCACCGGATTTAAGATACAGTCGCAGTTTAAGCTCAAAGGTTTCTTTACATCATCATCATCAGTATTTAACCAACATCTTAATGCAGAGAACAACATGATTTTGTCAGGTGCACAAGACATTACGGTCCCAGAGGGTTCTAGCCCAGGCCTAATCTTTTTCCTTCCACATGATAATACTCACTTTATAGCATATGCTGATGACGTTTCTACCATAACCTAAAGTAATTCGGATATGATTTTGGGAAATAAATGTAATGACTTAATAGGGAAAATCAATACATGGTTTAGCCAGTATTCACTATACTTGAATCGATCCAAAAACGACGCTGACTCATTTTCGTCATGCACAAAAAACTGTAGAAGAGTTGCAAGTTAGATTGGGTGACGACAAACTCGACTTCATTTTGATTCGAACTTAAATTGGAAGGTCCACTGCGAATTTCTGATACCAAAGATAAACTCTAAAAGCTATGTGCTGAGACAATTAAAAGCTATACTAACAACTGAACAACTGTTACAAGTTTATTTTGATAATGTGGATTCAATATTCAGATATGGGGTATGTTTCTGGGGGTCAACGCGCTCTGAAGATATATTTGTGTCTCAAAAAGGATGCATCCGATCACTAGCAGGGATATGAACAACAGAAAGCTGCAGAAAAATATTTTATAGATTCAAACATTTTAGCAATGATGAGTATGCCGATATTATTTTTGTGTACGGGTTCTGTAATGGAAATGCTTTAGCGGCTTTTCGGGAATATCAACGTAGTAACAGTATCCTAACAGACGCCAACCTGCCCCAAAGGTTTTTACTTGATCATTTATAAGACTTCGGCACATATACTAAGTGACATATAAATCCGAACACCCAGTTTAAATGGTTTTATTTTAATAAAAGTTGGTGAATGTATTTATCTTACTGTAAATAACAAGTGAAAAAATTTTCAGCCTTATCAGTTGGACATTCCGGTTTTTATACTGCTTTTTCTTAATTCACTAACGCTCTAAGAATGAATATTTCAGCCGCAGTAAAGAATCAACGTTGGCGGATTTTGGTTCTTGACATCCTTTACGATCGGTTACGATGCCTAGAGTACGGAGACCTGTACGATTTCGTCAACTTAGTCAGTTTTATAGGGGCCGTATAGTGGGACTTCGGGAAGCCGGACTTTATTTTCGGGGAATTGCAGTTAGATTGCAAAGAAGTGTAGACACTGTGGTTAGGTGTTGTCAGGCATGGCTTCGAGAAGGCCGTACGCAAAGAGCAAGGGGCACTGGACGCCGCCGTAGAACAACAGACCGTGAAGATCGCCGCCTAAGATTATTGGCCTTAAGGGACAGTTTCTCCACTACCAGCTCCATTGCAAATGAATGGTTTGCAGAACACGGAAGACCTATTGGCATGCGAAGTGTTTACCGACGAATGAGAAGTTTTGGCTTGTTTTCATACCGGCCACACTGGGTCCTCCCTTTAACTCGAGAACACCGACGTAATCGCCTTGAGTGGTGTAGACAACGGTCACTCTGGTATCAGGAATGGAACAGTATTGTCTTTAGTGACGAGTCTCGATTTTGTTTAGGCATGCATGATGGTCGTGCCAGGGCTAGAAGGCGACGTGGTGAAAGGAGAAATCCACAGTTTTTTGTTGAAAGACATGTTCATCACACTGTTGGAGTTATGGTTTGGGGTTCTATAGCTTATGGTTCCAGGTCACCTTTAATCTTCATCAGAGGTCACATGAACGCGCAGCGTTATATCCACCAAGTTCTAGAACCCCATCTTTTACCCTATCTTGACACCCTGGCAGATCCAATTTTCCAACAAGGTAATGCTCGACCACATGTTGCAAGAGTCGCAATAGACTTCTTTCAGCGTAATGATGTCACATTGTTACCATGGCCACCAACATCTCCCGACTTATCCCCAATTGAGCACGTGTGGGATATGATGGGTAGGAGATTGCTCAATTTGCAACGTCCTCCTCAGACTCTAAAAGCACTTCGAGAGGAGTTGGTGGTTGCCTGGAATCGGATACCACAGGAGGACATTGACCACCTGATGAGAAACATGCCTAGGCGCGTTGGAGAATGCGTAGCACATCACGGTGCATCCACACATTATTAAAGGTCAAAGGGCTTTAAAGCAGTGCAATCATTTTGAAATTTTTATCATTTACTTATTATGCTTCATTAAGTACTTATACAAAATTTTATTAAAATAAAACCATTTAAACTGGGTGTTCCGATTTATATGTCACTTAGTATATTTGGTCCTGGTCTTCTTCTTTTTAATAATTTATCAAGCCATATTTCGTCGTTCGTTCCACATGAAAATAATAATTTATTGGTGTTTATACACTACGGTACTTACACAGATTAGATTTGTAAGAAATACAGGTTAATAAAGATAGATATGATAAAATTTGCATGCAAACATTTATATCATTATGCATAAATTCCTCCAACGAGAAAAAAGCTTTTTTAAGGCGAAAATGCTAAAACCATTGATTTTACAACAAGCAGTAACTTATTAAAGAACTTGATTCCATAAAAGTTGGTGCCGTTTCGGCTTGTTTATAGCCGATGGTGTTCTGTACATATATTATATAGGGTGGCGCATCGAAAACGAAACAGACGCATTTACTGGCAGCTCAGTTTTTTTTTTGGAAAAATGCTCAGACCCGTCGATTTTGTGTTCGAGGGAGACACAAGTTTGGCAAAAAATCACGTTGGCACGTGTGACGTGTGACACCACCCCCATAATCTCAAATGGAAAGGGAGGTCGAGTGATACCTTGCTTTAAAGGTCTTTCAATTCCCTTTATAATGGTATAAAATTAATGTACTTCAGTTTTCGATGCGCCACCCTGTATTTGTTTCTAGTGTCATACCGATGTATTTACTTGATATGTACAAGTGTGTTGTCCCGTTAGGTTGGAGATTAAGTTCGGTAACGTCTTATATTGCACATAAAACTTACGCTCCCAAAGTTTGGTATAGCTCTACAGTGAACTTGTAGTGACAAAACATTGGAGACTCGCCTTCCTTGCATTCCCTTACGCATTCATGGCCGGGCTTTAGCAGCTGGGCAGTGAAGTCTTGTGATCCTAGGACAAAAAGAAACGTATGTTGGGTTAACAACTTCAATCATCAGATTTTGCCTGCAACGCATTGTTCGCATAGTTTTTGCTGACAGGGCAGAAACAGTGCTACGAACTTTTCGAAGCCGAACTGCTCCTCAGGAAGCGTATTGTTAGTACAAGTTTGCTCAAAAATGTGTTATTATCTACACAGGTACTATAAAAGTTTTGCAATATGATTTAACAGTGGCATCAAAAACATCATGTGTATTGATAGTTCTTAAAGTAAAAGTTGTTTGATTAGTACGCGCTAACTAATATTATAATACTATTTAGTCTCTACTTAAATGACTTATTCAAAATTCAAAACAGTTCTGGAAAGATTATAATTATGTTTTGCAGATGAAACCCTCGTATTATATAAAGCTGATGACTGGAGCACACTGAAGCAAATAGCTGAAAAGGATTTTATAAGGATCATTGACTGGTTTGATACTAAAATTTTAACAGTTAACTTCAAAAAACAAAATTTATTGCATTTACATCCTATTCAAAATTTTTACCTACCTTCGAACAAATTTCCGTTAATTATCATGGCCAAGAGACCAAAATCGATAGAGTTAACACTTTGAAATATCTTGGAATATTTATAAACTCACATCTAAGGTGGGATAACCATATTAAATATGTTATCAAAAAAATTAGAAATGTTGCCTATAAACTCAAAATGCTTGCTAACATTCTTACAGAAAGTTATCTGCGAATGATATACCATACCTTAGTTGAAACCCATATAATATACGGCATCACAGCCTGGGGTGCCGCCGGCAAGACATATATTTCTGACCTGAATATAGCACAAAAAACTATTTTGAAAGCCATTTTCCATAAGCCAAGATTATATCCAACGAACAACTTATATCAAGAAACAGGGATACTTGATACAAGACAACTTTATTTCTTACATGCCATCACCTTATACCATAAGTATTGTAATGAAAAGAAAAAATCCTATAAACACAACCATAACACACGATTTCGAATAGGCTCATCTAATATCCAAAGACCACACAAAACATTATTCAAAAAATCATTTAAATTCTTAGCAGCTAAATTATATAATGTAGTACCAAACGAAATAAAGATACTTAATTTTGGAAAAAAATTTAGAAGAAAATTGAAAGACTGGGTTAGTAATGTGCAGCGAATGACTATACATAATTATATAGAAAACTAAAACTACAAAATTTAAATTACATTAATACCTTTTAGATTTAACAATAATTGTTATACACATATATGATTGATTTTTAGTTATTAAGATATAAACCACACACAGGCGATGCCTTCTGTGGTTTTTTCATATTTATTTGCCCATTTTTTGTATTTTGGCGAATAAATATTATTATTATTATTATCATTAAAATGTGTTTATCTTTAAATCAGAGGAACGTAGTGTTTTGGTACTTACTTGCATTGCACAAGAATGTCAGGAGAACAAGGAAGCTAAACCTGGACTGTACCATTTTGCCCTTCTAAGCGAACTGGCGGGCTGGCTCTAGCAACGTAGCTCTTTTATATCCGTCTTTACTTTTTCCTTTAATCATGGCTTAAACAGATATGTATCTTTTGTAGACAAAACTGATAAGAGTATACGCTTATTTTGGATTAATCGTGGAAAAAATCCACATTAATAACTCTTATGTAATTTCTATTATGAGTTGATAACAGGTAACACCAAAATCGCAGAGATATACTCGGGTACTCACAAGTAGAAATGAAAAGTCTGTCATTGATGTCAAAAATCAAAGATACAAGAGTCAAAAGAGGTTTTGTAATAGGAAGTCACCATTATCTCCTAGAAACAAAAATATTTATCGTGCAAGGAAGGAGTACAGGAAACACCGAAAAGAAGTCCAGCGCAAAATTAAAACGTACGAACTAAGGGAATATCATGCACAAGCAAGATTCAAAAACGGTTTAGATAACAAGCTTGAACATCAGCTGAAAGATGGAAAACATTACAGTATCCACACGTTATGGGACATAGTTAAAAGATGCATATTGAGTACCGCAGAAGAGGTATGTGGAATAACGGTAGATATGCCGAAAGACTGGGAGTTCTCAATGATACTACCACTATTTAAAAAGGGAGATATGAAGGTATGTAAGAACTGGAGAAAAATCACTCTATCAAGTATGCCCGTAAAAGTTTATGAGAGCGTACTAACCGAAAAACTAGAGCGGGAAATAGAGCACAGCCTGGACTAAGCACAACATGGATTCAGGGAAGACAGAGGAACAACAGATGCAATATTCATAATAAAACAACTCAGAAAGAGTAGTAGATAATAACGAAACAATATGCAGGGTGTCCGCAAAGTTGGGGTTTTCCTTTACACGACGTGTAGATCTTGAAAACATAAGCAATTTTTCTTAGTACTATATACACCAATGTCTCAAGGGAACCGAGATAAAGGGCTCTGCAACATCAAAAATATCTGAATACCGTCCTGTAGCCGCGACATCCCCGACTGGTACTAGGACACTAGCTCAACCCGACGACAGAACTGGGTAGGGGTCAGTGTTTCAGGTCAGTATGCAAGCTTCAACCGACGGTTACGGTCACGCGTGTAGAGGTAATCGCGTATTCGTGAATCCCTCAACAAGCACTAGAGACGTGGCTAGAGAAGTGCAAGTATCAAAAACTAAAGTGTAGCAAACGCTGCGTGAAGAGGGGCTCACGTCCAACGTGTACCATCCCTTCAACCTGACGATTTTCCAGCAAGAGTGCGGTTTTGTGAGTGGTTTTTGCATCAACATGACAATAATCCGGACTTTTTGAAGTGCATATTGGTCACAGACGAATCCACGTTAATGCGTAATGGGGTGAATAACTTTCGCAACACTCATGTTTGGTCAGTAGAAAATCCGCACGCTGTCCGTCGGGCACATTTTCAACAAACATTTTCGGTGAATGTTTGGGCTGGCATGGTGAACCTAGACCTAGACTTTTTACGCAACATTTTGCCTTCCTTGTTTGCCTGCGTCTGCTCGGTAGCGCATCAGCTGATTTCATTTTCTGTTGGAGCGGTATGATTTCGGACAGAGACGTACTTAGCCCTTCTCGTCAACTGGAGAGTGAGTACTTTTTCCTTTATTTTTTTTTTACTTGGTCGCCCTCGTTTCACTACATATTACCTTTGTTATTTCAAATTTCAAGGGTAGTTGTTTCTGAAAAGGAAAACTCCAACTTTGCGGACACCCTGTATATGTGCTTCATAGATTCAGTGGATAGAATGGACCTCTGGGGTATACTGAACAACTATAATGTGGACAAAAATCTAATAGAAAACATGCAAAGTCAATATAAGAATACCTACAACTATGTAAGAACAAAAAATAAAACAGCTGAAAAATTTACAACTGCAGATGACCTAGTACTGTTAGCAAACAAAACAGAAGACCTACAACATGATGTATCGAATGAGGAAATCAGAAAAGATAAACTGAAAATAAATATGAATAAAACAATATGTATAAGTATTTCTAAAGACCCACAAAACATAGAAATCCGATTAGAACAACAATCAATACAACGAATAACTCAGCTTAAATATTAAGGAATAATGGTCACAGAGGATGGAAGGGTTGAAGCAGAAATAGAAGATAGAATAAAAGCAACTACAAGTGTATACTTCCAACTACATAAACACCTATTTAACAAAAAAGAAATATCTACAAAAACAAAAATTAGAATTCTCAACTCGCTGAATATCCTACCCTTACATATGGTCAGAACTGAGGATATTGAGTAAAAGACAGAGACAGAAAATACAAGCAAGTGAAATGAAAATGTTAAGAAATTATCGACGTATTAGCAACAAGAGCCATAACATGCACTGTTCTCGTGCATAACTTTTTTACTATAAGTCGGATCTTTTCGCGTGTAGTCTCATTCTGAAGGTCTTATAAATACCTAAAAATCTTATTTTGAGAGTTTTTTGGTTCCAACACTTTCGATTGAATTTAAGAGAAAGGCGATTTCTCATTCGTCTCAGACGAATAAAAAGTTTTCCCACCAAAATTGGTGTACCCAATTTATGCGTCCATGTTTTAAATACCCCCTTGAACAACTTGCATCAATAAAACAAGACTTTACAATTATTTCGGGGAAATTTGCTAATATAATTAGACTAATATTATTATCACATACAACGCAAAAATCTTATTATTCGTGATTCATAACTGCGTGGTTTATTAACATTATTAAATATTGATACTTGCAGCTCATCCTGTCAAAATTAAAGTTGTTTACAGTCACGATGACAGCAACAGAGTGAAATTTCACACGCGCAGAACCTGAAATTCATTTTCTGTACTTACTCCATCGTCGACACTTTTGCCTTCAACCCCACTATATGAGTTTAACCTCCTATCTCTAGCCTTCCTAAATTCTATTGTTTTAAAAAAATTAGTTTAAGGAGCTAACATTCCATACAGCCCTAAGTTTCCTTTCTGCTTTACCAGACTTTTCATGTCTTTGGTATACTTGAGTACAATGCCATTATTTATGCTAAGAGCCCTACTTATCCAAATAAAGACATCTGGAATCTTGAATCTCCGAAAAGGAAGATCGCTGTGCATAAACATTTTAAACATCTTCAAGCTAGATACTCCTGATATAAGAGCGCCCTTTTAGTGAGCATGAAATAAAAACGTCCGTACTTTTCTCTTGGATGATCCAGAGAACTTTGCATATTCAATGCCGAATTTGTCTCCCATCCATCCCAACTTTTTTAATTGCTTCATCCTTTATTGATGAAAGGCAAGGGTTAAGGACAATGCCTTTCCTGCTTCATAAATATTAATTTTCGTTTCTTTCCTTTGTTTCTGCCGCGTTCTTTGTAAATTTTTTATTAAGACATAACTGCAGACGTATGAAATGTGGTTCTCATAATGACCATCATTATTATCATTCCCTGCACATAAGCAAGTGTGATCACGTAGGTGGCATGCTTTTGCGATGAAAACCTTTTATCGGATTTTCAAAGTTGACCCACTCTCCTTCCTATTCGTCGTTGTCGTCGTCGAAGCGGTCCGTGGGACCTTCGCTCTTTGTTAAAGTATCGTAGGTCAGTAGATCTGTCAAGTCTGGTTGCCCGGACACGAGACGAAGTCAGGGAGAAAGAAAGGAAGGAGAAAGACAGGAAGGAAGGGAGAAATGCGCCGGTTAAAGGGATGCCTTGCTATTGTTAATTGGTATTCGGTTATTTTGAATTAATCCAAAATTAATTTAGGAATTTGTGTGTGGCAAAGATCGTAATTTTGCTTGGATCTAGAATTGCACGATTTGATTTTGATCACAGTGCGAGCCGCGGTCTTGTGTGCTTGCGAACTTGCTCGACTGTGTAGTCTACTGACTCACGCAACATAGGGTTACTGTCCGATTCCGCTTGAATATAACGTAACTGCGCTCGATGTTTGATGTATCGTCAGTCGTGCCTACAATTGTAGGGCGCGTTTATGACCTCCTTGATTTCGATAATATTACGTCTTCTTCGTTAAGGAACATGTATGTTCTGCTTTGCATTTCTAGTCTCCTGTCAATCGGAAGTCAATTGTGATGTTAGGTTATGTTTCTTTTTTGACGAAATTTTTGACGGATAAATCAAATGCCGAAGGATATTTTCTTGCAAATGATGTTGATCATTCAATAATAATTACGTACATTGAACAAATTCGTCAGGCTGTGGTATCTTCAAGTCCCATATCTGGTATTAATGATCTAAAATCAACAATTTAATGCAAATGGATGTGTATTTACAGCTTACAACAAATCACCATTACTTATAATACTATTTTTTCAGATCTAGTTGCATTGCTCAAAGAACATCCAATCCTGATAAGCCCAGGGTACAAGATATTGTTCCAAGGCAATAACTCCAGTGTAAGGAACGTAATTAGAGGGAAAAAAAGAGTCAATGTATTTAAATTGGATATTTCAAGAAGTTTGATACCTAGAGTTAATTAACTTTCCAAAATGATCTAATGTACCCCCAAACTAGAAAGATTTCTTTGCAATTGATTAGATATCGTTTTAGCCCAGTTTACATAGCTTGTAATTTAGAAGATAGCATATAATCTAGTTAACGTCAAGGATAAAAAATTGATGAAGTCTATACTAAGTGACATATATATCCGAACACCCAGTTTAAATAGTTTTATTTCAATAAATGTACTTAATGAAGCATAATAAGTAAATGATAAACATTTCAAAATGATTGCACTGCTTTAAAGCCCTTTGACCTTTAATAATGTGTGGGTGCACCCTGATGTGCTACGCATTCTCCAACGCGCCTAGGCATGCTTCTGATCAGGTGGTCAATGTCCTCCTGTGGTATTTCATTCCAGGCAACCACCAACTCCTCTCGAAGTGCTTCTAGAGTCTGAGGAGGACGTTGCAAATTGAGCAATCTCTTACCCATCATATCCCACACGTGCTCAATTGGGGATAAGTCGGGAGATCTTGGTGGCCATGGTAACAATGTGACATCATTATGTTGAAAGAAGTCTATTGTGA